TAGAAATGGAAAATTATAAAATAATAAATTATTGCTTATTAGGTAACATACTGATCGACATAATGATATGAAAATGCAACTTTTCCATATTTGGGAGAAGAAGAGTACATTTCTACAAATCTACACATACAAATAGGGGTGGGCACTTCGGTTCGGTTTATCCGAACCGAACCGAATCGATCCGATCCGAACCGAAGTAGTAATAGAAAACCGAATGGTTCGGAATTTTGTAACCCGAACGGTTTAGTACCGAACCGAACCGAAACCGAACGGTTTGGCAAAAACCGAACCGAACCGAATGCTATATAATTTTTTAATAAATAATAATAATAATAATAATAATAATAATAATAATAATAATAATAATAATAATAAAAAAAAAAGAAGTAAATCCAAGTGCCTTGATGCCTGCTCCGCCGTTCAGTTCTCATTCTTACTAGTACCGAACCTTCAATTTTTTATTTAATTTCTTTATAGCTTGTTTTCTACATTGCACTTTTGTTGTTTGTCGCAATTGTTCTTTACCTCACAATTATATATAACTTGAGTTATATTTACAATATTCAGTATTTTCCTTAGTTTCATGTTTTTCTATAAATTTAATGTGCTTTACAGTCATTCTAATTTTGATTTCCAGTGTACTATAATTATTTTCTAGTATTGGAATATATTTCGAGTGCACTAGCAATGACAGATTGTGTCCAAAAATTAACTATATAGTAATTGACACTAGTTCTTTTAATAACAACTATATAGATAGATGATTATTCATCTTATCAATGAAAATATTCCAACTGAAGAGTCGGTTGTGCAAAAACGTTAACTAAGGTTTGGTAATTAGTACTTAGTATTGTGTTTGAACTTTGGATTGCTATTTTGTTATATAATGTTTAGAGTTTGAATTTGGATGATGTGAATATGTATTGTTTGGTAGTATGTTCGAAAAATTAGAAAATGTTGAAATTTGGGGATCTTAAACCGAATCGAACACCGAACCGAATTAAATCCGAACCGAAACCGAACCGTTTCAAACCGAATCGAAACCGAACCGAACCCTAATGTTAAACCGAATGGTTTAACTTTTTTAAAACTGAAAAACCGAAACCGAAAAAAACCGAACCGAAAACCGAAACGCCCACCCCTACATACAAATACAAATCTAATAAGAGCCAATAAAGTCAGGCCCTTAACCAAAATTTAATTGTTTATTGAAATGAATGATTCATATTATTTTAATTTTAGCTTTTTTTTTATGATTTTATTTCTTTATCCTCTATTATATTATTTTCTTTCCTTAAATAAACATGCATTCCGTTAGTATATAAACTTTAGTAATGAAATATTTCATTAACTATTTATTATTCTTAACTTACTCATTAATTTCTATAAGAAATGTCTTAGGTTCGGACCCCATCCCCATCATAGTTGGCATAATTGTTAAAATATACTACGAATATGTTAAAATGTATTTAAAAAAATACAATATAAAATTTAACTTTGACCACGAATGGTAACAATTTGAAAGTCGAAGAATCACAGGTGGTCAATTTAAAAGTTTATAACTAAATGTGACAAAATCACTATACTCGGAGGACCCCATTTGGTATTAACTCATTAAAATAATAATAGTAAGTTACTAAAATAGCCTCTCAAGTATAGTAATTTCACCCACTTTTGTGCAATTGTTATATCGTGCACCAGGGCGCACAATGCATTGGGCGTCCTGTCCAAAACGACGTCATTTTTTATGTTAAGAGTTTATGTGTATTATTTTAATAGTTTATATGTATTATGTATTATGTTAGAGCATATTATGTTATGAGTTTATGTATATTTTACTATACAATTCTGTACATTCGAAGGATGAGATTTTTTTTTTGAAGTTAACGACATAAACGTGAAACGAAATTTCTAAAAAAAAAAAAAAAAAAGAAAAAATAGATACAAAACAACGTCGTTTTGGTCATGGCGCACAATGCATTGTGCGCCTTGGTGCCCGTTATAATTTGTCACTTTTGTGTGTTGTATAATTTTCTAAAGAAGAAAAACAAGGGTCGTTATATTGTGCACCGCGGTGCATAATCGATTATGCACCGTGCGTCAGACACTACAGTGTGTCTAGACCGACACTGGCTCATATATTATTTTTATATTATCAAATGAAACTACAGTTATATCAAAATGATACTGTATTTGTGGTGAAATGAAACTACAGTATATATAAAATGAAACTGAATAACATTTCACATATTTGAGTGTATATTGTACAATGAAGCTGTAATTATATTCAAATGATCATGTAGTTATGTTTTAATGAAATTATAGTGTATATAATAAAATGAGTTAATACCCAAAATAGTCCCTCGACTATGTCGTAATTACCAATTTGGTCCTCGACTATCATTCTTACCCAATTAAGTCCTCAACTATACAATTTTTACCCAATTTAGTCCTTTGTCAATTTGACTGTTTGTTGACTGTCAAAAGTGGAAATAAAGTTGTAATTTTACAAGTTTTCTCCTTCCTCCTCATTTAGCAGCGCCAAACCATGTAGCAATAAGCTCCGGTTGGGTTCTAAACCTGTCAGTATCGAAGTAGTGGTTATGCATCGGATAGCCCATGAATTTGATTTCCAACGATTTTTTGACGATCGAAATCTGATCGGAGTGTATTGCTGCATGGTTTGGCACTGCTAAATGGAGAGGAAGGAGAAATCTTGTAAAATTATAATTTTATCCCAACTTTTGACAGTCAACAAACAGTCAAATTAATACAGAGGACTAAATTGGGTAAGAATTGTATAGTTGAGGACTAAATTGGGTAAGAATTGTATAGTTGCGGACTTAATTGAGTAAAAGTTACATAGTTGAGGACTTAATTGTGTAAGAATGGTAGTTGAGGACCAAATTGGTAATTATGGCATAGTCGAGGGACCATTTTGGGTATTAACTCTAATAAAATTGAATAACATTTTCACATATTTGAGTGTATAAATATTGAATGAACCTGTAGTTATATCAAAATGAAACTATAGTTGTGTTGAACTAAAACTGCAGCGTATACAAAATGAAACTGAAGAACAGAGTTATTTTTTGCGAAGATTTTGTTTCTTTTCATTAAATAAAACGACGTCGTTTTGACAGTGTCGATTTAGATACACTGTAGTATTTGACGCACAGTGTATAATCGATTATGCACCACGGTGCACGATATAATTTGCTGAAAAACAACCAATGGACCTAAAAAATAAAAACACAACATATACCCAAACTCTATAAAATATAAATTTATAATAGATCTCAAAGCCCATATCCAAATCAATACTGTGGGCCTTAAATTAACGTCATCTAAAAAGACCCAATTCATTTCTCCGCAATGGTTATACTTATAGATCATCAATCATTATTGCGTGGATCATGGTCCACACAAGTTATGTGGACCATATTTTGTATATTGTAAAATAATGTATATTCAGTATAAAAATAATGTACATTCAGTCCCAAAAATAATGTACATTATATTTAAAAGATATACATTATTTTGTACTGAGTATACATTATGTACCATAGTCCACACAATAATTTGCCTATAGAGTTGTCAAAATGGATTGGCGGAGTAGATTTATACAAACTTAAGGGGAGGCTGCCATCATATAAAATTAGGTGGGCTAGGCCGGGGTAGCCTGTGGCCCGTCGAGCCTGCCTTGCCTAGCTCGTGGAGCGGACTAAAAAGTCCGTCAATATTACGGACTTTGCAAATTAAAGTCTACCCACTCTTTTGGCGAGACGAAACGGACTAGCTCAATAAGCTAAACCTGATTAATCGCTCTATGTATATACATTTAACATATTATATATTTTAAGTTAATAGATTATGGACATTTAGTTATAGATGAATGTAAATAATAACTAAATGTATATAATAGATTAATTGTATATAAATAATCTGGACTATGATCTATAATATTCATGGTGAACCATGATCTATGGCAAATTGGTCCACACAGTGTTATGTGGACTATAACAAAAAGTACATTTTTAATATACTAAATGTATATTATTTTTGTATTGAATGTACATTATACAATATAATGTATACTCAGTACAAAAATAATGTACATCCCCTAAATATAATGTACATTATTTTTAAACTAAATGCACATTATTTTTGTATTGAATGCACATTATTTTACAGTATACAAAATATGGTCTACACAATAATGATTGAAGTCTATATGTACATAATCTAAATTATGGTGTACACGATATAATTTATTATAAAATTATAACTTTTAAAATTAAAATCACTAATTATTTCTTTTCAATAAAATTTAGGACGTATTTGGGCGGTTGGTATAGTGCAAATTGAGTTATCGTCGACAGTGGACACCGCCTCTGTAAGCTTCCCTCTACCTACATCATCTATACATTTCTCCTAATTTAATCCTATGGTCATGCTGGTTTGATGAGTTTCTGTACTGAATTGCATAGAGTAATAGTTTGAATTTTTTAAATATTGAAATGGTTTAGGTTTTAGAAACAGTTGATTGTTCTTCTCCCAAACAGTTGATTGTTCTAAATGCTGATTAGCTGGCTCTAAACTGAAAATCACCCTTGAGGGGGAGGCAGAAGAAAAAAATTGCTAGGCTTATTGGTCAATTGTAAATGATTATTTCATAAAGCATGCTTAATTAAGAACCTATGAGCTCAACTTGGCTTGACTGGAACTGGAATGGTTCTCAGCTTGGCTTTGCTGAAAGGAATTTTTGACTGGAATGGTTAATCTGGGAACTGAGTTTGTGATGGTTTATGTACACCAGACTCCTTGGCTATGGATTTTGGGATTTTCTTTATTTTTGTCATTCTTGTATGTATATTATCCATATTGGTAGAGTGGGGTGAATACATTTTTGTTTAGATGTAAAAAAGATGGTATCTTTTTTTAAAATATATATATATATATATATATATATATATATATGCCCTACAGTTAGTGTCAATAGGGTATTGGACAGGGTAATATTTAGTTGGGTTTGGGACGAGGTTGGGTAGTCTTAACTGTAAATGATTTCGGATTTGAGAATAGCTGAACAGGTTGGGACCTTCCGACCTTACCTTTTGCAATCCCTAGTTACATCTTAGTATGCAAAACGCATGTTATCTTACTTTTTAAGTTATCCATGTCTATTTCTGTTGCAGATTTTTCTGGAGGGGGCTTGTTACTGATTACTGTCATGGATCTTAAACCATTTAAACTAGACATAGATGACCTTATAAGTGAATTCGCTGAGGTATGAACTATTTTCTGCTTCCTTAGTATGATCCCCTCAACTATAGTGATGTTGAATGGTATCACTTAATTTCTTTTGTTGTATTTTCAATTCTTCCTGCTTCTTTTCGTAAGTAGCAATCTTGTTGGTGTATAGGGCGGATCAACGACTCTTGTGGAGATGAAGAGAGTATGGCTTTCAAAAAAATTCTCCTTTATTTTTGAGGCAAGTCCTTCCACAAATCAGGCATGCTTTATGCAATCACTCTTTGCTTATTCCGTTGGTACGTTCTTAGCGTGCTTCATTTTTTTATATTTTTTATTTTAGTGCTCTGTTACCCAATCTGATGTGCTTTAGCTTGTTCATCTAGATTGAGTGACTTCTTATTATGAAAGTAGAAAATATCCATTTCTTAATGTTACAAGAGCTAATAGCTTTCTATCTTAATATTCTGAAAGAATTTAACTCGACTTCAGAGTTTGATGTTTCTTTCCAACAGTTAGTTATTATTATAGTTCTTGGACATCATAATATGTTATTTCTTGCATTGTTAGTGCCCCTTCCAGTTGTTTGGTTTATGGGTTATGATACGCATCCAAAAGGATGGATGGTTTACTCACGCAGAAAAAGGAAGGATGCAAATCAGGCAAATCAGGATATACATGGGAAGGCTTAACTCAAGGGTTTTGACAAATAAAGAGAGGCATAATCATCTCAACAATCATCTCAGCAATCATCTCCTTTCTATAATTATTTATTTCCTAGTACTATAAATCAGAATCTCTAGAAGAGAGTAGATCATCCAATAATCTTCCTTAGTCTTTAAGCTTTAGTAGCTAGGCAAGAGCCTAAAACTCTTGTTGGGGAAAGTCTTGTGACTTCCTGTTTCTTTTCTTTATTTTCTAGTCAATAAAAATACCTCCTGGTTCTTTTCTCTAACAAATTGGTCCGACCTGCCGTTGAATGGCGAACACATGTGATTCCCGCATAGAGACGTTAGAGAAGAACCAAGATGCAATTCGTACTGAATTGACCACATTGACGGATCGATTTGCAGCCGTAGAAGCTTCTGTGGCTAGGATGTCCGACCTCCTCGCTCTCTCCCTCCAAAGCAAAGGGCAGGGCGATGCCAGTGCGTCATCGGTAGCAGTCCCAACAATTGATTCCAACCCCTCGTCAGAACGATTGGCTCCTCCCGACAACACCACACTTCCCACGGGAAGATTGGAACTTCCTACATTTGATGGTGGCGACCCGATCGGATGGTTGCCCAGAGTGGAGCAATATTTCGCCATACATCACACCCGGGAAGATCTGAAGGTTCCGACAGCCTTTATCAGTATGCAAGGACCGGCTCTACATTGGCTCCGGTGGATGAAGCGAACGCAGCAATTCGTAACTGAATGCCTAGTGTGTCAAAAGAATAAGTATGACACCATGGCACCAGAGGTTTACTCCAACCTCTGGACAGAATTTTTTGACAAATGGGGCACCAAGTTGCGTTTGAGCACTGCATACCACCCTCAAACGGACGGCCAGTCAGAAGTCCTCAATCGATGCCTGGAGCAGTATTTGCGGTGTATGACTTCTGAACAACCAAAGCAATGGGGACGCTTCCTCCATTGGGCTGAATACTGTAGCGTATCTGACTTCAACGGTCAGTTTCCTCACTCCAACCTTAGGGACAAGGTTGCTTCTTTGGAGGGTGGCAATGATACGCATCCAAAAGGATGGATGGTTTACTCACGCAGAAAAAGGAAGGATGCAAATCAGGCAAATCAGGATATACATGGGAAGGCTTAACTCAAGGGTTTTGACAAATAAAGAGAGGCATAATCATCTCAACAATCATCTCAGCAATCATCTCCTTTCTATAATTATTTATTTCCTAGTACTATAAATCAGAATCTCTAGAAGAGAGTAGATCATCCAATAATCTTCCTTAGTCTTTAAGCTTTAGTAGCTAGGCAAGAGCCTAAAACTCTTGTGGGGCAAGAGCCTAAAACTCTTGTTGGGGAAAGTCTTGTGACTTCCTGTTTCTTTTCTTTATTTTCTAGTCAATAAAAATACCTCCTGGTTCTTTTCTCTAGCAGGTTAATCCTTGTTTTTCTTATTGTATTATGTTTGCCATTCGTACTTCCTTTATGCCATATCCGGTTCTCACTTTTGCATTCTTTTTTCTTTTATTGATGACCTCTGGGAACTTAAATTGCCACCCCCTAGTCCTCAAATTACATTCTTGCTGTTTGGTACTGATATTTACTTTTTTGATGCTTTGTTTTTTGTCTCTTGGTCTTAGGCTATGCAGCATCTACTCGCTCTTTATCACATAGACTGGGTGGCCTTTATTGCTTATATTGCCTTTTTGAGACTCAGCCATTTATGCCTCCTTTCAAGATATATCTATCTCTTGGTATGTATGACTAAAAACGTTTTCTAATATAATAGATGAAAGTGCAGGTTATGTTTTCTTTGAATTCTTTCTATGACCGATCTTCTGGTGACCTGAGACCAGATGTATTTGATTAGTCAATGATTATCATCGTTCTTTTTTCAAAGGTTAGTTAATAGATATGTAAGTTTGGGTCTTAAATTGGCCGTAAGCTAGATGTCCAAGCTACTGTCTATTCTGATGTTTTGTATTATTTCATTTTCTTGGTTTAGCCACTGAGATTTAAATCTGAATAATTGAATTCTTGGATATGCGAATATTCCATAAACTTGTCTTTAGAACTCACAATTATAGGTATTGATAAACTACAGGAGAATTGAAGAGGTTGCGAAACCTTGTTGCAGATGCAAAAGCCAACAATATAAAAGTTGTATGTGCTTTAGTGAAAAGAATGTTGGAAAGGAACATGTTTCTCTATGGGTTTGTGGATATAAATGAAGGCTGTGCAACAGAAAGAGTAAATGAACTTACAGAGATACAGAATGCTAGAGTCCAAACTGCATATGAGAAGTAAGGACTAAATTTTATAAAACCCCACCTTAAAACAAGGGTTTCCCTTATCCATTGTCTTTGGTTTCTTTGCTGCAACTGGCCAAATGACTATAACCGTTTTTGCTGTATAGGTTGTTTGCAAACACACGAATTGAGCACTTCACCCATTTGGACATGGTATGCTCCAAAACACCTGGTCAGATAATTGATGGGTTGTTTCTTGCTATTTGCATTCCCAAATAGGTAGATGTTGTACAAGTATTGCTAGCAACACTATAGGTGAAGAAATTGTATGCTCCCACACGGGTTTAGCTCAATGGTTCAGTAGGCAGTATTTGGGAGAAGAGACCAAGATTCGAACCTTGGCGGTGGTAGTGTGGGGATTATGCCTAAAGTGGGCAGATCCCTTGTGCGCACCGGCATTTGGCCCTGTCTGCTGAGCCATTGAGTCACCGTGATTTACATCCTCCCAAATGAATTTTGCTAATTATTGGTCATCATAATCACTTTTACATGGTCATTTATCAGTGCTTTGTGCCATGTTTTTGTCATGGTGCCACTCTCTTGATTCCAAAATGGCATTTTAAATTTTCTTTTTCTAGGGAGTGGAACTTGATGCAGATTTGATCAAACAAAGATCAACAGAATATGCAATGGCGAAGAAACAAGCCATTGAAGGTACCTCAACTATTTCTATATCTTTACATGTCGTCTCCACTATTCCCATTTTCAAGTCAAATAAGTAAAGTTAATGTTCTATTTGAATTATTTTCTTTTTTGAAGATGCTGCATTTTAGTATGTATTCTTAGACTTTGTCCAACTACATGTAATCTTTTGCTTATGGAAAACTGTCTTCTTAAACTTCGTTTGAGCTCACTGGTTCTTCTTGTTTCGTTTCTAAAGAGGCTAGCAAGATTGTAGATATCGAAAACATAAAACACATAATGGAGAACAAGAGATCGATTGGAGAAACAATCAAGCAGAAAGCCGGTTATTGGAATGCACAGAAGGATGCATTCTATCAACAAACAGGATTTGGTCATGAGTTGGCTATAGAACAGGAAGAAGCGATGCAAGTTGATGAAAATTTAGAGGAAGCGGGTGAATTGCAGGAAGACGACTTTGGGAAGGAGCTGGAAGATGTTCTTTTGTCCGAACAGCTCTTGCTCGAAAATGAAGAAGCAGAAGATTTTGAGCAGGATTGATTGATTTCTTAAACTCTAATGAAATTACTATTGGGGATGCCCTTAAAGAAGAGAATCAGAAGACGTTAGAAGAATCAGGTGAAGATTATTTGCAGGATCGCCTGATTAGCCACCAGACTTGAATGTTTAACACTTACCTTCCATGACTGTGACTTCTATAGTTCTATCAATGAATTTGTCTAAAAAACGTGTCTCATTAATGCACATATCTAGAATGTAACTCATAACTTGACAATGCAAATTGGCTCTTCCAAAAGATGTCTTCTTGAATAGATCAACAATTGGTTATATAAATCATAAAAAATGAATATACAGGTGTAGACATGCCAAGTGGGTCATGCTAGCCCGGTTTGACACAAATCTACATGAGCCCGAAATTTTTGACAGTTTTTAAGATTGATTATAAGTTTTGACACAGTCAAATATTGGTGGGAACATATATTAATTATTGCTCCAATGTTTTTGAATCTGTAGTATTCATTGTATTGTTATATAATATTGATAAGCACATATCACTACACAAAAAGAAAATCACACTATATTCGATAAGCTCGACAAGAGGATGTTGGCAATTATTTAACTTGTGATTGTCAACTACTAATACATTCTAGGTATAGAATTCATAATCTTTAATGTACATAATTTCATAATACAAGACACAAAAACTTACAACAAAGACACATATGCGTGTAATATATATATATATATATATATATATATATATATATATATATATATATATATATATATATATATATATATATATATATAAGCTTCAATCCAGGTTATACCCCTGGTTTATGTCGCTTTTTTCTGTTAAATTCTTTTGTACCTTATGCTATAAAAGTTGTACTACATAATTTTTTGGACAAAAATATCCCTGCAGTTATAACTTCTGTTATCTTTCTACATTATTATTACCATGTACATGCATACATAATATTATTTCTTACATCCTTCCATGGTAAGTTTACATTCATTTAGGTTTTAATTAAAATGTTACCATAGTTATATTTAATAATTTATCATTTCTATAATTTTTACCTCAAAAATATTAATATGAATCATACAATTATATATGTACACACACACACACACAATATATATATATACACACACACACAATTATTTGTTAAAAAAATTAATATAACTAAGATTTTAATATTTAGTTTTAATATTGGGCATATATTTTTTGCGCATCGCGCATATAAAATACTAGTATATATATATATGCACAAAATTTCACAGCACAAAATATAAATTCATAACATAAAACACATAATATGTTGTGTTACACAACTACTAATTTGTTTGATGTACAGAATTTCATAGCACACAAGACATATACACATGTTTTATAGTTAAAAAGAAAAACATGTAACTTAAATTGAACAACCAAATGATTGCCGTAAAAGATAAATCGAAAACAATGTCGTATAAGATCAGGGTCTATAGTGCACTGTGGACTCTGGTCCACAGTATAACGATCCCAATTCTTTTAGTACGAAATTAATTTCACTTGTGACTTTAATTGGCAATGGAATGAAATTAATATGCAATGTGTGGTTTCTTACCTCTCATCACAAAGGAGCCATCATTACTGTGAGCAGACAATATATTGAAAGAATATGACTTTGGTAAATATTTTTCCATATGTAAAACATAATAATTTACATGTAAAGTAAGAATTTAACAATTTTACATCTTAAATTAATAATTTACAAACACTTAGTGTACATATTCACGATGATATTACATATGGATACGAATATATGATGTATATATAGTGTACTAGCTTTTTTACGCGCTTTGCATGAATGGGATAATGTCCAATGATTATTTTTAAATAAGTATTTTAAAGTATAGCAATGCAACATTATATAGGAGATGTTCATGCATAGATAAATAAATGTTGAATTTGTTTATTTAAATCGGTAATTTAAACTATATAAATGCAAAATAATATATGAGAGATTGATTATAATTAGCACTAAAATAAATGTTTGTAACTTTTAGAAATCTACAATTTAGAAATTATGAATCTAAAGTATAAATTTTATGAATCTACAGTATATAAATTATGGATCTACAGTATAGAAATCATGGATATGGAACCGTGCCCACCTTGCAAGGTGGGCACGTGCTCACAGCATAACGATCCCTGTGCATTTAGTCGGATTAATTATTTGACCAAAGTTTATGTTAAATTATATATATATATATATATATATATATATATATATATATATATATATATATATATATATATATATATATATATATATTAACATATTTGTAATATATGTTTAACAATTATGCCAACTTTAATTAATTGGGATGTGTTTCGAACCTAAGACCTTTCTTAGGGATAAAGTACAAATAAGCCACTGAACTATTTGGGAAATAGCAATTAAGCCATCGAACTCAAATAACCCTCAAATAAGCCATTGAACCCAGAAAAAAAGAGCAAATAAGCCATTGAACCCTGAAAAAAAGAGTAATTAACACTATTTACAGGTTAACTTCAGGTTTTTTGCTGATTGGATTGCCAAATGTTTATTTTATTTACGTTTATTATTTTTTATTAATATTATCCACTTGGATAGTATTATATTTTAAAATAATTATAATAAAAATATTTTTGTCTTGTCGAGATTTAATTTGTTTCTTTATTATTATTTTTTCACTAGATCTTTTGTTTAAAAAATAATAATAAATAAATAAATTAGATCTAGACAATACAAAACTACTTTGATTATAATTACTTTAAAATATATTACTATGTAGATAGATTATAATAATAAAAAAATATAAATAAAATAAACATTTGACAATACAGTCAGCAAAAACCTGGAGTTAACCTGTTAAAAATGTTAATTGCTCTTTTTTTCTGGGTTCAATGGCTTATTTGTGGGTTATTTGAGTTCGATGACTTAATTGTTTTTTTTCAAATAGTTTAGTAGCTTATTTGTACTTTATCCCCCTTTCTTATAGAAATTAATGATTAAGTTAAAAATAATAAATAGTTAACGGAATATTCTGTTACTAAATTTTAAACTAACGGAATTTAAGTTATTTAAGGGAAGAAAATAATATAATAGAGGGTAAATAAGGAAAATCATTAAAAAATAATAATAAAATTAAAATAATATGAACCATTGATTTGTAGAAACAATCGTACCGACATTTTTTTGTATTCGTAATATATGTTTAACAATTATGCCAACTTTAATTAGGATGTGTTTCGAACCTAAGACCTTTCTTATAGAAATTAATGATTAAGTTAAAAATAATAAATAGTTAACGGAATATTCCGTTACTAAAGTTTAAACTAACGGAATTTAAGTTATTTAAGGGAAGAAAATAATATAATAGAGCTGGGTAAATAAGAAAAATTATTTAAAAAAAATAAAATCAAAATAATATGAACCATTGATTTGTAGAAACAATTACCGACATTTTTTTGTTCCAAGGGTCTAACATTATTGGCTCTTATTAGAATTGTGTTGTATATTGTATGTATTGTAGATGTAGATATATTTTTGATTCAGATACCCCATTTAGCATGCATGTCCGAATTGGTCAAATTTTGCTCCTCCTTTCTACCATTTTCTCTCCCTCTTTCTCCTCCCATTGTAAGTCTTTTGACCACAACACAAACACAGAAAGAGATTGAAAACTAACAATACAACAGAAATATCAAGTCCATGGCTTGCGTTGCTGTAACTTGTTTGATGCGAACAATAGAGCTTGAGTTCCTGCAATCCAATCCACGTCTGATGTTCCAGGACACACAACATATCAAGTCTCTCCATGAAAAGCTTGGCCTTTTGCTGATGTTTCTTGATGAATCTGACAAGAAAGCCGACTATAATGAGGAGTTGAATGAGGTGACAGCAAAAATTAGACAAGTAGCAGTGCAAGCAGAATATGACATTGAAGCAGAGCTAATAGAGGAGATTATTCATCATCAGACAGTTGATCAGACCTTATGGCGCGTACTTGAAGACGTTGAACAGCTGATAGAGATGACTGAGAATGCACACCAGATTCATCTTGCTAAAGATTTGCAAATTCTACATCTAGAGAATCCATCATCACCCTTGAAACGTACTCCAAAACATGAGGACACAATAATGGTAGGACACGCTGAAGAATTCGAGGAATTTAAGGATCAGCTCCTTCGGTCCTCGAATGAACAACGACAAGTTATGGCGCTTGTTGGCATGGGAGGTATTGGCAAGACAACATTTGCAAGGAAAATTTATGATGAGTCTGGTGTTAAGTCTTATTTTGACTGTTGTGGTTGGGCAACCATATCTCAAGATCTCAATAAGAGGCAAGTGCTCCTTGATCTTTGTCGTTCTGTCATGCCAACACGCGATGACCTTAACACTCAGAACGATGATCAGCTAGCCGAACAACTGCAGAAAAGTCTAAAGGGACGGAGATATCTCATCGTCGTAGATGACATATGGACCACTGGAGCCTGGGATAATGTCAAAAGATGTTTTCCTGAGAGCAACACTAGCAGCCGAATATTATTGACTACTAGACTCCGAGACGTAGCTAGCTATGCTTGTTCCAGTAAGTCATTTAATTATGAGATGCGGTTCTTAAACTCTGATGAAAGTTGGAATTTATTTTGTCAAAAGTTTTTGGTAAGAGAAAGTTTGAACAAAGAATTTGAAACGATGGGGAGGGAAATTGTTGAGAGATGTGGAGGATTACCAATTACAGTTGTGGTGCTAGCTGGACATCTATCCACTAACATGGCAGTAGATGAATGGAGGAGTGTTAAATCAATGTTAAACTCATTGGCGAATTTAGATCTGTCTCAACAATTTTCCAGAATACTGAGTTTGAGTTACAACAACTTGCCTTGCCATTTGAAGAGTTGTTTTCTATATTTAGGAGGTTTTCCTGAAGATAGTGAGATCGAAATTAAGAAAGTGGTTAGATTATGGATTGCTGAGGGATTCATAATAGAAGTGAGTGAAAAGACGCTAGAAGAATCAGGTGAAGAATATTTGGAGGATCTTATGAATAGAAGCCTGATTATGAAAAGTGGGAGAAGCACTAATACTGGCAAAGTTGGAACATGTAAGATGCATGATCTATTACATGACCTGTGTGCAAGCAAGGCTAAAAAAGAGAAACTTCTGTGCACCAGAGATGGCAGTGAACTTCATCATCATCATTATCATCATCGTAACGTTGTTCATTCTGATGGAAATCGTTGGTTAAGTCTTAAAATAACATCTCAACTAAATCATTTTAGCATTGATTTGGACAAATCCCGCTCCATTTTATGCTTTGATATGCGTGAATGGGGTGGTCCTGATTCGTTTTTGTATTCGCTAGCCAGTAGTGTTAGCATGACAGCCAACTCTTTTAAGATGCTAAGAGTGTTGGACTTAACTCTACTTGACTGCAAAGAAATACCTTCAGATATTAAAGAATTAGTTCTTCTTAGATATCTAGCTTTAGCCTCAAATAGGCTTCTTACCTCCACCATACCTTTGGGGAAGAATCGGAATCTGCAAACACTTATTATTTGTGAAGATATCAATGGCTTCTGTCAGCTACCTCGCGGAATATGGGAGTTGCCACAATTAAGGCACCTTCAGTTATACCATCAGCTAATTCCAATGTACACTCCAGAAGTGGCTCAACTAAATCTGCAAACAATGTACTGGTTGCAATGCGTTCAGTGCACTAAGCAAGTGCTTTCGAGGATTCCAAATGTTAAGGAGTTGGGAATAATTGCCCAAGGATGCATATCCCACCATTGTTTAGATGATCTTAACTGCTTAAATAAGCTGGAGAAGCTAAAAGTTCAGGGCACCTATTGTCCCATAAAACTACTGCGGCCTTATACTACTTTTCCACAAAACCTCAAGGAGATTACCTTTGCAAAAACTCTCATGCCCTGGGAAGCTATGGACGTTATGAGTATGCTGCCCAAGCTCAAGGTGCTAAAACTCAAGAATCATGCCTGTGTGGGACAAGACTGGAAACTAAGTGTAGAGAAGGGGTTCCCTGAGTTGAAGGTTTTGCTAATTTCTGTTATGGATTTGAAGCATTGGGAGCTGGGCGATGATGTTGATGCTGATGATCATCCTTTCCCAAAGCTTGAGCGCTTGGTATTGAGAAATTGCTTTGAGTTGAAAGAGATGCCAAGTTGGATTGAAAACATTAGTAATCTGAAGTCAATTCGGTTAGAGCATTGCCATGCTTCCCTTGTGAGTTGTGCCAGGATGATTGAAAAAGAGCAGCGTGAGAACTACGGAGAAGAATATGGATTTGAGATTCTTGAATTCCACACTACTCAATCAGGTCTCTCTCTCCCTTGCACTAGTTGGTTTGATATATATATTTTCCAAATTGTGGCATTTTATTTCCTACTTTAAATAATTCGACCTTTATTCCTATTTTGTATGCTGATCGAAAAAGATGAAGATCAAGATTCCAGTCTCCCTCTCTGTCACTCATTTGCAGAAGAGAATGATGAAGATATAAAAACGGTACAGTGATTCCACCTACCCTTAAGCTTTTTTATTTCCGTTTTATTATATATTATTATTCTATCTCTTGTGATCGATATTGACTAACTGTAAAAGCAAATCTGCAAATCTTTTGCTATGCAGAGTGTTTTCCTCGAAGCAACAAGTCTCTATATCCCACACGAGAACAATCCTCAGTGTTGGAGTTGGACTCAGGACTCCGGGTATGCATTAATCTCTCATTTTTGTTCTCTAATTTGACCAGTTTATGTAAAAGAATTGTATATAGTCCAATTCCCCTTTACAACGTGTGCAGATATAGGGTTGCAGAACTTCTGTGGGTTACCTGGCTCGAGATCAAAGGACAGTTGGACACCAGGCACCTGCACAAAAACACTTCTTATTCTGCATACCTTATTTTTAAACTTAAACTGAAGGCCCGTGGACTCGATACAGCATTCACATTGGTGAGATACCTCACTGATAAAAGATGTTATAGTGAGAATCGACGTCGTCAAGTATTTTTAGCAAAAAGGAGGTCTTCTCAAGAATTTGGCCAATTTCCAAATAGTCGCCATGATGGGTGGATGGAGATTAAGCTCGGAGATTTTTACATTAGTTTAAGAAATGATGGTGAGGTTGAAATGGGGCTTTGGAGTACTGAAGACGCGCTTTTAAAGTCTGGTCTCGTTGTCAAGGGCATTGAAGTTCGACCTAATTGTTGAGGAAGATATATAATTTATGAGATAACACCCAGTTAAATTGTACTTTGTATTATGAACTTTCTCATATAGGTTTAGTTAGAGAATTAGTAGTTAGCAGATTGGTAAGCTATTAGTAGATTGTAGATAGATTGTATTAGTAGTTTTTACTAATAGATAATATTACTTGATCACTTGTTCATAAAAAAGTGTTTAGTAATTTTTGGTTCGCGAGTTGCACAATCAGTTTATCAGTCAAATCCTAATGTACATTATTTGATAGTATGGTCCACACAATAATAGTTGCCTTCTATCAACATGGACCCTTTAAATCACAATGGAAATGATGATAGAAAACCTGTCAGAAATCTGGAGAGTCTCTGACGCCTTCTCTGAAAATACTATCGGAGATAATCTAAGATTTAACGCTTATTCCTAAAACAGACAGAGGATAAGGATGGATAGGGATGGAGTCTACTAATAGCACCGCCGGCTCAACCCTCCATTAGAGCGTCAGCCGGAGGATGGAGTCGTAGGACCTTTACAGAGTTGAAGTGTGTAACTGAACCTTTTCAATATTTGAGAGCCTAATTACTTTTTTATCAAAAGTTAAAGAGTCTATTTGACATTTTTCGCTTTAACAAATTAAGTAAACTAAATATTCTCACTGTGTACTCAAAAAAATAAAATAAAAAAAAAATCCCACTGTACTGTTATTTTGGCCGAACCTCAATGGCCTTAATGACGAGTCCCGACTTCTCGTTACTCTCAGTATTCCACAGTCGAATATCAACAACACCTTCATTTCCATTGCAGACATTAAACTCTCCGAGCATAATCTCCATCCATTCATCATCATCGGAGTCTACATGGGACCTCATCCCTGCTAAAACTACTTGGTTCTCACTGTTAGTGTTATTGTCATTCACATATCTCAACGATGATCGTGCCAGGTCGATCCCATAATGCCTGGGTTTAATCTTGTAGAGGAGGTATGCGGAGTAACAAGTCATCTTGTGTAAGCGCCTGGTGTCCACCGTTCCACGGATGTCAAGCCACCACACTCGTAAAAGCTCTGCAACTTCGTATCTGTACACATATAATTGTGTCGATATTATGTTCACGAACATTGGAATTAGAATGATAATTAATATATAAAAATATATAGTAAATATATATCAATATATGTATATGTGTATATAGGGAAGGGATCAGGTGCGGGTGGGATTTTCCGTGCTGGTAGACGCACGTTAAGCATTAATCTGACGCACTTAAAATACAAAATACACGTAAGCACACAAACAAAACACCTTAAGAACATTAACACATGCACGTTAAGCACAAACCTCAAGCATGTTAAGCACAAGCATCACGCATGTTAAGCACAAGCCTCACGCACCTTAAGCACAGAACTAGACACCTTTTAAGTTTCAACAACTACTCACATTAAGCACAAACACACGCACGTTAAGCACAAAACTCACGCATGTTAAGCACAAAACCCACGCACCGTAAGCACAAAACTCACGCACTTAAGCACACAACTCACGCACATAAGTTTCAACAACTCACATTAAGCACAAACTCACGCACTTGAAGTACAAAACTGACGCACGTTAAAACCGCACAACCGCACGGGAAACACTTAAATGCACCTGAACCTCTTTCTGTGTATATATATTAAAATTTCATTTTTTTTTTTATCAATATGGAGGGGATTTAAAATTTCATATTTTTTTTGTTCGACTACGAAGTGTTCTGAGCAGGTCTAACTGTATGAGACACCTTTAAATTTGTACCATACAAAAAAGATAATGTATGTTTGGTAAATGGCTCTGATTGAGTTAGTGGGTTTGACTAGTTAATAGCATTAGTTGATTGTAGAAAAGTGCTTGGTAAATTAGTGTTAATTAGTTGATTAAATACTAAATGACTTTCTCAAAAAGTTGATCGAAAAAACTATTTTGAGCAACTTTTTAAATTTTAGCGTTATGAAGAAATAAGTTGTTACAAAAAACTAATTAATCAAACACTCATATTGATTGTTTAACCAAGTCAAACAGCTAATAGTCGTCAAATAAGCTAAAATTAATAGGCTAAATATTTTACCAAACAAGACCAATGAGTTTTATGATTATTAAAAAAAATTGAATCCTGATATAGTATTTATTCAATTCATATCTGTGGATCAACCTCTCATTTAAAAGAGTCACCACGACCACAGACCACTAGACCAGACCACAAAATCATTGACTATCCTATAAGACAATAAGTTAGAGTGGATTTTGTTTAATTACTACTACGTACGTACCCGGAGTTCCGAGTCCAAGTCCAATAGCTGGGATCATCCCCCCATGCAATCCCGAGGCTTCTTGCTTCTATCCGTACACTTTGCACAACGCAAACTATACCTCGTGTCAGGTCTTCCTCGTACTTTTGCTCCTCATCAAAGGCTTCATCGATCTCTTCTGCAAATTAAAGTAGATTAAACGATCGAATGACCCATAGAGTATAGAGAGATAGAGAGAGATAGCCCTGATTGAATGTGGAACATATATATATATATATATATATATATATATAATTCAAGAATCTTGATTAGAAAACACATTCTTCCCCAGAGAACTAACTCACGTTGCTTTCCTTCAATCCCTTCTGCATCATTTATACTCTTCTCATCCTCTTCCATCTCCTCATCATTCTGGCTATTCTTTTCATCCTCATCTTTTTCAGGGAGGTCCTCTATTATTATTTAACAAGAATGAAGATTCATTTAAATAGGATATATGATACAAAATGCCAAATGCATTATATTTAATTAATTTGGAAAAAACAACTGAAACCAATTATAACTACCATACGTAAGAAGAGAGGAAGATGAGAGAGAGAGAGAGAGAGAGACCTGATTGAGTGTGGAATTCAAGAATCTGAAATCCATATTCTTCACCGTAGCAGTCACGCTGCTCTTCTTCAATCTTCCTGGCAGAATTCACAAGGGAAGCATGGCAATGCTTCAACTGAACTGACTTCAGATTATCACAAAGGTTTTCAATCCAACTTGGCATCTCTTTCAACTCAAAGCAATTTCTCAATACCAAGCGCTCAAGCTTTGGGAAAGGATGATCATCAACATCATCCGCCACCTCCCAATGCTTCAAATCCATATCAGAAATTAGCAAAAGCTTCAATTCAGGGAACCCCCTCTCTACACTTAGTTTCCAGTTTTGTCCCACACAGGCATGATTCTTGAGTTTTAGCACCTCAAGCTTGGGCAGCATACTCATAACATTCATAGCTTCCCAGGGCATGAGAGTTTTTGCAAAGCTAATCTCCTTGAGGTTTTGTGGAAAAGTAGTATAAGGCCTCAGTTTTATGGGACAATAGGTGCCCTGAACTTTTAGCTTCTCCAGTTTTTTTAAGCAGTTAAGACTATCTAAACAACGGTGGGATCTGCATCCTCGGGCGATTATTCCCAACTCTTTAACATTTGGAATCCTCAAAAACACTTGCTTTGTGCACTGAAAGCTCTTCAACCAATACACTGTCTGTAGATTTAGTTGAACCACTTTTGGTGTATACAATGGGAGCTGATGGTATAAGTCAAGGTGCCTTAATTGTGGCAACTCCCATATTCCATCAGGTAGCATATGGACACCATTGATACCTCCACAGATAACAAGTGTTTGCAGATTCCTATTCCTGCTCACTGGTATGGAGGTGAGCAGCCAGTTTGAGGCTAAAGCTAGATATCTGAGAAGAACTACATCGTCTATAATATCTGATGAAGGTAAACTTCCTTTGTAGTCAAGTAAAGTTAAGTCCAGCACTCTTAACATCTTAAATGAGTTGGCTGTCAGCTTAGCATTATTGGCTAGCGAAATTAAATACCAATCAAGATGATCCCGTACACGCATATCAAAGCATAAAATGGAGCGGGATTTGTTCAAAGCAATGCTAAACTGATTAAATTCATATGTTATTTTAAGACTTAACCAACGATTTCCATCAGAATGAACAACGTTACGATGATGATGATGATGATGATGATGATGAAGTTCAATGCCATCTCTGGTGCACAGAAGTTTCTCTTTTTTAGCCTTGCTTGAACACAGGTCATGTAATAGATCATGCATCATACATGTTTCAACTTTGCCACTATTACTGCTTCTCCCACTTTTCATAATCAGGCTTCTATTCATAAGATCCTCCAAATATTCTTCACCTGATTCTTCTACCGTCTTTTCACTCACTTCTTTTATGAATCCCTCAGCAATCCATAATCTAACCACTTTCTTAATTTCAATCTCACTATCTTCAGGAAAACCTCCTAAATATAGAAAACAACTCTTCAAATGGCAAGGCAAGTTGTTGTAACTCAAACTCAGTATTCTGGAAAATCGTTCAGGCAGATTAACATTCACTAATGAGTTTAAGGTTGATTCAACACTCTTCCACTCATCTACTGCCATATTGGCGGATAGATGCCCTGCTAGCACCGCAACTGTAAGTGGTAATCCTCTACAATTCTCAACAATCTTCCTCCCAATCGTTTCAAATTCTTTGTGCAAACATTCTTTTGTCAAAAGTTTTTGACAAAATAAATTCCAACTTTCATCAGAGTTTAAAAATCGCATGTCATAATTAAATGACTTACTGGAACAAGCATAGCTAGCTACCTCTTGGAGTCTAGTAGTCAATAATATTCGGCTGCTAGTGTCGTTCTCCGGAAAACATCTTTGGACATTATCCCAGGCTTCAGTGCTCCATATGTCATCCACCACAATGAGATATCTCCGTCCCTTTAGACTTTTCTGCAGTTGTTCAGCTAGCTCATCACTGTTCTGTGTGTAAAGGTCATCGCGCATTGGCATGACAGAACAACAAAGATCAAGGAGCACTTGCCTCTTATTCAGATCTTGAGACATGGTTGCCCAACCACAACAGTCAAAATAAGACTTAACACCAGACTCATCATAAATTCTCCTTGCAAATGTTGTCTTGCCAATACCTCCCATGCCGACAAGCGCCATAACTTGTCGTTGCTCTTTCGAGGACCGAAGGAGCTGATCCTTAAATTCCTCGAATTCTTCGGCGTGTCCTACCATTATTGTGTCCTCAAGTTTTGGAGTACGTTTCAAGGGTGATTGACCACCAGATGATGGACTCCCTAGATGTAGAATTTGCAAATCTTTAGCAAGATGAATCTGGTGTGCATTCTTAGTCATCTCCATCAGCTGTTCAACGTCTTCAAGTACTCGCCATAAGGTCTGATCAACTGTCTCATCATGAATAATCTCCTCTATTAGCTCTGCTTCAATGTTATATTCTGCTTTCTCTGCTACTTCTCTAATTTTTGCTGTCACCTCATTCAGCTCCTCATTATAGTCGGCTTTCTTGTCAGATTCGTCAAGAAACATCTGCAAAAGACCAAGCTTTTCGTGGAGAGACTTGATATGTTGTCTGTCCTGGAACATCAGACGTGGATTGGATTGCAGGAACTCAAGCTCTATTGTTCGCATCAAAGAAGTTACTGCAACGCAAGCCATGGACTTGATATTTCTTACAATGAGAGGAGAACGAAGGAGAGAAAATGCAATGGTAGAAAGAAGGAGCAAATGGTTGGAGGGAGGATAGCAACTTCCTCTAGAGAGACTGTTCGCTCCGGAAAAAGACTTACCTGCGCGTGGCCCGTGAACAATAAGTGTGGTAGGGACCGTTATCCCCCATCCTCCATAACTGGCAAATTATATCGTGCAGCCATAATTGATTATGCACCGCACATCAAAACGACGTCGTTTTGTTTAATGAAAAGAAACAGCATCCGTTTCCCGCTGTTTCGCATCCTTCCGTAAAAAGTAACTCTGTTATTCAGTTTCATTTTGTTTACACTACAGTTTCAGTTCAACACAACTACAATTTCATTTCGATATAACAACAGTTTCAACCGATATTTATAGACTCAAATATGTGAAAATGTTATTTAATTTTATTTTATATATACACTATAGTTTTAATAAAACACAACTACATGATCATTTTGATATAATTACAGCTTCATTGTACAATATATACTCAAATATGTGAAATGTTATTCAGTTTCATTTTATATACACTGCATTTTCATTTCCCCACAACTATAGTATCATTTTGATATAACTACAGTTTCATTTTATAATATAAAAATAATACGTGGGGCAATATCGGTTTAGATATACTGTAGTGTCAGTTGGTAATTAACATACAAACAAATGCACGCTCCGTTAACACTAACGGCGCGCTATTTCTTTACTTAAAGAAACGGCGCCGTTTTAACCGCGTTGTATGTGCACCGCGGTCCACGATATAACGACCGTACCCCTCCATAACTCCATTAGATTTTTTTTTTTAAGTCTCATGCTGCAATTAAATTATTATTATTATTATTATTATTATTATTATTATTAGAAAAGTATCAAATAGATCATTGAATTCTACACTTTGTGCAATTGAACCATTGGAAGAAAGAAAAGGCAGTCACGACTGTTTTCATCCTCGTCCAGGATAAAGGTAGCGACAACTATAGTTACCTCCCCATTTATCCATGCGATGCTTTGATAAAGTAGAGTGATTAAATTGAACAGAACAAAGGTATAAGGACTAAATTGAAAAAAACACTATAGTACATAGACTTCATAGGTACTTTTGTGGACTATATTTTGTATACTGTAAAATAATGTACGTTCTGTACAAAAATAATGTACTTTTAGTATATTAAAATGTACATTGTATCCAGGGGATGTACATTATTTGTGTATTGCGTGTACATTATATTGTATAATGTATATTCAGTACAAAAATAAAGTACATTTAGTATATTAAAAATGTAATTTTGTTATGGTCCACATAACACTGTGTGGACCATGGTCCACACAATAATTTGCCAAGTTAATTCAAAAGAATAGATGTGATTCATGTGATAAGAGCAAAATAAAGGAAATGACAATCAAATTGTAATGAAAGATCAAGCAACGATTAACAATCAATACTAAAACTAAGGGCTTGAACTAGGTCATTTAAGTGTAGATGATATAGTGTATCATTGATTAGAACTCATGTAATGCATTGACAAGAGAACTAGGGAGATACTACTAGGTGTCAGCACCATTCCTGTGGTCGTTGGACTCTCAATCAGTTTCAAACCCCACTCTCGTGGTGACTTAAGACTATTGAAGCATTTTATCAAGCATGCGGTGTTCGCATCTCCTTCCAACCCCTTTTCTCAAAGGTGAGTTGGATTAGTGAGTGGTATGGCTATGGTATTGTTGTATTCTCATAGTGACAACGACTTGTCCATGTATCTCTTGTATAATTTGGCCACAACCATACAAGAGTCAATATAAACCATCAATCTCACAACTAAAACCATTATTATCAAGTCATTATTACACTAACTCATAGCTCAATTCAATCACATAGCATCAATCACAAAAGATGACTTAATCCAATCCCTAATTGAATCTAGCTAAGCATGAACTGAAATCAAGGACATTTACAAGAACAATTGGAAGCAATAAAATGCAAAGAAAGCAAAAAGGAAAGACTTAGCTTTGATTAAGAGCTATATATGGAAATGAAATATGAAAATTGCAAGATGAAATCTGAAATTGTTCTTCAAATATTCTTCAAAGTTGGATTTATTACACAAATGAAATGTTTAGAGTCCAACAAAACCTTGGAAAGAAAGTGGAGAATGACAAGTTTTTAAGAAATAACTGCCTATTGGTATTTATAGTCTAAAATCCGCGCCTATTGTTATCTTCATAGAAGTTGTATCACTTTGAAATACCTTTCCAATGCCGTTGGAATCACTCAATTTGGATATTCTTACGGTGAGATATGCTCAAAATACTGAGACGTCGCCTGACAGAGAAAAACATAGCAGAATGGAGTCACGCTGGTAGTCACGGTGTGGATACCAGCGTGACCCATAATCTTCACTATAAAATGCATATTTCTTCATCTCCTTTGTTTCTTTGGGTCCCTGGGCATGTCATGATACTTCCAACTTGCTCTTTTTCACTTTTTTGATCTCTCATGACTCCCGGAGTATGTCTTTGTATCAAGATGACTTCAAAACACATTCAATTGAGCTCCAATTTACATGATGTTACAATCAATGCCTCCAAATCACCTAAATGACACAAAGAAATCAAATAAACACATACTTAGCTTCCAATAATCATGAAATCTTATGAGTTTGATATCAATTGTGCATATAAAAGTACTAAGAATTAGTGTTTATCAACAGTGCACTGTAGACCCTGGTCATATAAGATGTCGTTTTCAATTTATTTTTTACGACGACCGTTTGGTTGTTCAATTCAAGTTACATGTTTTTTTTTTCTTTTTTTTTTACTATAAAGCATGCGTATGTGTCTTGTGTTATGAAATTATGTACCTTAAAAGTATAAATTTTGTACTTCAAACAAATTAGTAGTTGTGTAAATACAACATATTGTGTGTTTTATGTTATGAATTTATATGTTGTGTTGTGAAATTTTGTGCCTATAGAATATAAATTTTCTACCCAAATCAAATTTGAAAATAAGTAAATATATAAAATGTGCATGTGTCTCGCGTTATGAAATTATGTACCTTAAGAGTATGAATTATGTATCTAGAATAGATTAGTAGTTGTGTAACACACAACATATTACGTGTCTTATGTTATGAATTTATATCTTGTGTTAGATCCCTTTGACAGCGTCCGCGCGTGTAACACACAAGGCCAAGGCCACCTTAGACTGAGGCCGCCCCAAGCCTGGATCGTCCTCGCTTCTTCTTGGATTTAGTCTCGGATCCATCTCTAATATATCCATCACTACAAATTCAAAAACATTGGAATAATAATTAATAATATATCTTCCCACCAATATTTGACTGTGTCAAAACTTATAATCAATCTTAAAAATTGGGCATTAAATTTCGCGCTCGTATAGATTTGTGTCAAACCAGGCTAGCATGACCCACTTGGCATGTCGACCCTGTAGCACTAATTTTTTCCAATTTATTATAACCAACTAGTAATTGTCCCGTGCGATGTACGAACTATTATTAATTTAATAAATTTATCAATTAAATTTTTGACATTCTCTGAATTAGCAAAGAAAGTAAGGGTTGTGGAAACTGCAGAAAAATGTACTTGAGTTCTTGAGCTCATAATTAGTTTGATTAAAAATGTAAGTATAACTATACAATGTAATATTTAATATTTTTAAAAATTTAATTATGCTATTATTATGTTGATTTTAAAGTTTATTGTTACTTGTATTATTATTTGAATTTAAATTTTTTAAAGGAATTTGAATTTGAAATAACTACTTTAATTATATAATTAACGTATTTAAATAAAACTTGTAAATAAAATAACAGGCGATATTTGTCCAAAATCTCCACAAAAAACTTATTCATTTAAAAAAAATTATTTATGTAAGAACTATATTTATTTTATCTTTAATTTCTCCTCTTTATATATGTGGAGTCAAATTAATTATAATTGAGGTTTAAATGAATATATACACAAATTATATTAAATATAAAACTTTACCAATAAATTTGAACACAATAAACTTTTTTTCATACTTCATTATGCTTTAATAGAGATAGAGATAGAGCTATAATAATAAAATATAATTTATAAAATATAAATACACATAATAACTTTTAAAAAACATGTATAAATGCATCTACCCACACAATTAATGCATTCATACTTGCAAATCTTGCATTAATGAGGCATGTTTTTTAAAGCTCCTAAATATAGAAAACAACTCTTCAAATAGTAAGGTAAGTTGTTGTAACTCAAACTGAGTATTCTAAAAAATTGTTGAGCCAGATCTAAATTCACAAATGAGTTTAACATTGATTTAACACTCTTTCACTAGAACTCGAGGCTTGAATAACTTTCACAACCTCTAAAACCCTCTCTGCTTTAGGGTTCCTCTTCAAGCGTCGCTCATTCCTTCCTCACGGTCGCCGCCTCCACTCGCTGCCGCCTCCGTGAAGCGAGTGGAGGCGGCGTCCCTTGTCACCATCTCCCAACCTTCATTTACTGATGCCTTCCCTGCTTCCATCGCCTAAATTATCGCTTTCCCCTGCTGCCAATCTCCTTGTTTCTTCGTTCGATTTCCACTACCACCTCCGCCTTAGCCACCAGTTAAACCTCCCACTTCCCTCATCCCTCTCCCTCCATCTCCACAACCACTGTCCACCACCAATCTGTGGTTTTCCATCCGTTATTTCGATGAGTTTTTTCCTCTCATTTCTTTGGCGAGTTCCTTTTCATTAAGGTGAAACGATTTAATTGGTCATGGCGTATGTTAATCTCATCCTGAGCAACAAAGAAGATATGAACGATGATATGCAGTTCAGATTGATGGAGATAATGTCTATGGACAGAAGAACGACAATTGATACTCAACTAGTATGCAAGACTTCTCAAACATAGTCAGTCTTGGATAACCCGATCATTAACAACATCATCTGTCCCATTGCAGTTGTTGTTTAAACGATCCCTTAGGTCTCTCCCCGACCCCATAGGGAGGGATAGTTTGTCGGCTTGCATCCCCTTTGAGGTTGCCTAGCTTCCACCTGAGGTGACATTGGTGTTTTGGAAATCGCGAGAATTGCGAGAATTGGGCCTCGTCATTGTTATATATGAAAAATTTGAAAATAGTAACTAGTAAGTACACTTGAGCTTGTATATATGTCTAACTCTCAATGAAAACACCAATGGTGGAATTAATTAACGTAGAGGCCTATATTAACTAAGTCGGATTAATAAAATGAACAAAGGAATATAAAGACAATGTATACGACTTTTAAGAGACAAAGTGTTTGTGTTAATGGCTTTAAAGAGACTAATTAAGAGAGTACAAATTAAAGAATATAATGATCAAACAAGTTGTGTCCTAAATGAGGGCCTCAAGACACTAGATGACCAATTATGAGATGATGATGAATTACAGCTTCTAGCCCTTGAAGTTGAATGTTGAACCCCTCAACAACTTCTATTGGTGTTCATGGCACCAAAAGCACCCATTGGTGTTCCTTATCAAAAATGAATAAATTAAAGGAATTGAATATAAAGACAATGTATAAAGCTCGAAAGAGACAAAGTGTTTGCATTAATGACTTTGGAAAGTATAAAGAATGTAATGATATGACAAAGTGTGTCCTAAATGAGAGCAAAGAGTTTGCTATTATACTTAGCCTCTCCCTGCAACTACCCGGTCGAATCGAACCTTACCCGCTCGGGGCGAATGGTTAGGGTCCAACTTAATTGACCACATCTTTCGCTCGCCTTGGCCGATTGAACCCCCCGACTCGACCTCATGGGCTCGGGTCGGATCACCTTGAGCTCGCATTGGGTACTTGGGCCAACCCTGAGGTCGAGCTAGCCCATGCTGGTTTTCCTCCATTCGGATCAGTTCTGCTTAGCATTCCATCATTCGGATATGTTCACTCCAAACACATTCTTAGTATCAATCACATAGAATATCATTTGAAAAAGTTATTCGACACTTGTAATAAGTCAATAATTATGATTCATATCAATGACTTTGTAAAGTTCTTCAATTTCAACAGTACTTAAAGGGGTGTATTCAATCATGACTTTCATAAACTTTTAAAGACTTTTATGAACTTTAAAAGTTTGGAGGTATTCAATTCAAACTTTTAAGGAGTTTTTAAAAGTCAGGCAGTATCCAATCAAGATTTTTAAAGAGTCTTTAAAAGTCGGGTGGTATTCGATTAATACTTTTAAAGAGTCTTTAAAAGCCATGTGGTATTCAAAAAGTTATGGATTTGAGTAGACTTTATAATTTTAGGACTTTTGTAGATTTTTCCTTCTCAAATATTAATAGTTGAAATCCAACCCTCGATCCCAAGATTTCAAAATTTTCTTTCTACCAACTCTGAAGGTTTTCTCTCTCTATTTAAACTTTATTTTTTTCTCACTATTTAAACTTTATAAACCTTATACCTAAATTCAATAAATTATTTTTTCTTTATTATCCTATATTTTCTCTCTCCTAAACTTTACAATCTTCCTCTAAATTTTTGTATATATATATATATATTATATTTTTAAGGGAAAATGACACTTTTTCCCCCTGTGTTGTTTACTAATAGCATATTTCCCCCCTGTGTTGTTTATGTAACCACTTTATCCCCCTCAATTGTTTTTAAAGTGGTTATTTTCCCCCCTCTCCGTTAAATAAGTGTTAGGGATGTTAAATATGAGGGTAAAAATGGCATTTCACTTATTATTATTATTATTATTATTATTATTATTAATTTATTAATGAATTTGGTTTGCAATATAACTGTGCATTTTTAAGCGTGGAGTACTGCAATATATTAGGGCGTGAGGGTGGGGTCGTCCATTAATCCTTTATATAATAAAGCTATATGGTTTGGGAAATAATTAATGCTACAATTAATGTCACAACATACATCTTTTATTATAAAGAAAAAAGCACAACATTTAAAAAATAAAATAGCTATATATTATATAATCATATAAAAAAATATACTTTTGAAAAATAAAATAACTATATATTATATAATCATATAAAAAATGTGCTCAATTAGAGTTTAAATTTACACATACAAAATTTGAAATTTGCTTTCCAAATGTAATTATCTTAGTTATTATTCGTATTGTGAAAATTATAATATAGATGAAATACAATTAAGAATAAATCAATGTAATTAAGTAAATTTTCTCTATAAGTTTATTTGAATATGCACATAATTAGATATTATATTAATCATACAAAATTATAATTTATTTTAATTGTAATTTTGTATTCTATAAAAATAATAAATACTTGACCAATGGAAGCTCAAAAATATTATTATATTAAATAATTTAAAATATTTTAATTTTTCTATTTTTTATTTATATTTATAATAATATAATTTTTTTCCGTGTATCGCGCGGGTGAATTACTAGTAATAATAATAATAATAAGGAAGGAGCATGATGGTGACAAGTGTCATCATCCTATTCTCCTAAAAATTTTAAGATAGACCAGTATTAATCATATCATATCATAGTTCATCTCAGTTCGTTGCTATGCCAAACGACCTACACAGAAGACATCAAGATATAAAAATGGTACGGTGACCCTACCTACCCTTAAGCTATTTTACCTTCGTTTTATTATATAATTTTATGTACTTATTGTTGTATCAGATGACCAAGTATAGAGTAAGAAAATCTGCAAATCTTTTGTTGTGCAGAGTGTGTTCTTTGAAGCAAGAAGTCTCTACATCCCACACGCGAACAATCCTGAGCATTGGATCTGGACTTGGGACTCCGGGTATGTAATATAGGCCTATATAGACTCTAAGTTCACCTTTTCCAAGTCTGTGTGGACATATCTGGTTCATTAAAAGTTAGAAATCAATTGTCAGATCTGATCCTGTGTAATTGCAGTTGCACAGTTAGTTGTAAGTTGCATAATTGATATTGGACCAGATCTAATTATTGATCTTTAGCTTTTAATGAACCAGATCTGTCCACACGAACTCATAGGAAGAAGTGGACTCATTTGAACAGTAGCCTCTCTCTCCATTTTGTCCTCTAATTTGATTGGAGTGAAAAAGAATTGTATTTAATTTTGAAGTTCCACTAAATTGAGTTACAATAACTTGTGCAGGCATGAGGTTTGTGAACTTCTGAACGTTTGCTGGCTGGAGATCAAAGGAATGGTGGACACCAAGTGCTTACTTAAAATGACTTGTTACTCCGCATACCTTCTTTTCAAACTTAAAGAGAGGACACAATGGGTTCATACGGGACTTACCTCGGTGAGGTATCTCAAGGATAAGGGTAGCTATAGTGAGAGTCGACGTAGTCAAGTGTTTTTAACAGAAAGTAAGTCTTTTAAGGATTCTGGCCAGTTTCCAAACATACGCCAAGATGGATGGATGGAGATTAAGCTTGGAGATTTTTATGTAACCTCAGGAAATGAAGGTATGGTTGAAATACGATTTTGGAATATTGAAAACTTACATTGGAAGTGGGGTCTCATTGTTAGGGGGATTGATGTTCGACCTGATTGAGGAAGGAAATTTAATGTTCGTTTACGGGATAACACCCAAATTCTAGTTACTTTCTTATATAAGCTTTGTTTGGCAATTAGCACTTAGCTATGAAACTTTAGTGGTTTTGATTAGCAATAGATGCTTTAGTGGTTGTTTGAGTCCCTCCTTGATGTGTCTAGTTAGATATATATTCAAAGTTTGATATTCTTTTTATTTATAATTCAAGTTTGTTAGTACCAATTACAAGCTTGGGATCGGAAGAACTTTTGATACTCGATTTGCAACTATACAAAATCAGTTAAGCAAGTGCATATATCGTTTATGAGTATAGACATTAGTAACGGGTGTCATATTCACAGGGACTACAACTATTAGTATTACTTATATATAAACTAAAAGTAGCATGCAGACAACAAAAAGAACAATTTCAGGTTTTGCCAAGAAGATGCAAACAAGAAGCTAAATATTCACAGGTGCCTGTTGTGTTAAGGTTAAGCATACCATGAAGCTGTTGAAGAATGTTTCCTTCTACTCTTTCAACCATAAGTCTGAAAATGTAAGAACTGCAAAGAAAGGGCATTTCTCAGTGCTTGGCATTGAAGGCACCAGAAAATCAAAGAAGTTCTTCATTGCTTTAGACTATCTTTCCTATTCCCCCTTTCCTCAAGTTGCTTGAAGCAGCAGAAAAAGAACGTGGATTTGAGAAACAAGGCGTGTTAGCAGTACCTTGTGAAGCCAGTGAGCTTGAAGAATTCTGTCAATTGATTGAACTGAAACTGTGTAATAAAGAGGTTAACAGTTTTGTCTGCTTGTCTTCGGTCAGAATAGAGTATGTGAGGACATTGTAGGGCACTGCCAATGCCCTTTTTATCAAATTGGATAAAGAACAAAAACGTAAACAAATACAAACTGCATCATTAGTTTATAGTGTTTATACATCCACTCTATAACATGTTAAAAACCTGAAAACAAATGCAAAAGCTCTGAAAGAGATACTGTTTGGTCACCCACTGAATTCTCTTATAAACAAAATCCTTGAGAAAAAACATTAACAAGAAATTGTACTAACAAACAAATTTGTTGGTAGAAACTACTAGTCACTTGACCATTTCCTTTCACCACTATCATAAAAAATCCTGTTCTAAGTACAATTTCCTTCAATACAACTTGGCAAAAGTGAGACCACCAGACAGGAAAAAAAAAAAAAAAAAAAAATCTGATCAATCGGATGAAAATCAATTCTGAACATATCCTAAATAAAATAGTAACTAACATTGAAAAAAGCCTGAAACTATGGTTGACTTCTACATGGACTCACCTGAAATTCACAGCATGGATACAATGTGTTTTTTAATTTTCAGCTAACCAAATTCACTGTAAACACATCCATGAACTAATTTACAACTGGGTCAGCTCCTGCTGGTTTTCCACAGATTGCCTAAGAATTAACTCTGCTCTCCTCTTCTTATCATCTTTATCTTCATCTCGCCTGAACCATGTTGCTGTTCTTGAAGAACTCTTGTTCCAAAGCCTCAAATTTAGAGAATCGCCTAAAACTTTCTTACCAGGTCTGAACTCTAAACATACAGCAGGTCTTTTGTCCGGAACAATCTTCTCCATGCCATTTCCTGTTTCTGAAAGCCCATCTTTCATTGCTTCAATTGCTGGAGCAAATGTCTCCAGCAAAGAGGCATGGTCGTTGGTGTGGACTTTGGCAGAGAATTTAACTGGCAGAGCAATAGGAGATACATCTTTCTCTCCGGCTTGTAATGTCTTTGCAAGGAATGGGTTTTTGATTTCGTTATGACCCAAACCATTCTCAGTATCATTCGGCTCCTCTGAGCTTGAAGCCACTGGCAGACCATTGCACACCAACCGCTGCTGCAAATTCAACAAAGACCTCTCCGCCTTCCTACGCTGCCTGACTAACTCAATTTTATCAGCTCGAGGATCAGACTCCCTCTCGTTCCATGTAGGTGTGTGTATATATGTGTGAGGGTCAGGAAATGCAGGCAACCAAGGTGGTATGTGCTTAAACTCTGGTGTTTCACCCATTTCCTCAAAACTAGGAATCATCCTAGGCACTTTGACCACTGGAAAGTGTGGCACAGGCTGGGCAAAAGGAATCTCCTCAGCTGACTCAACATACTCAACTATCTCCCTCATAACACCTGAATTCATCCCACAACCGTTTACCTCTGCGGCACCCAGAAACCCTGTGTGTGTATACAAATCCTCCAATGCACCAACTATATCAAATACATTACACTCAGACCTCCCAGCTAAATTGGCATAGGAAGTTGCAGTCTTTCCTAGGTCAAAAAGGTACTTAATTGCAATGTCTGCAAAGGAATCCAGAGCTGATTCATTGCAGCTCTCAAAACCAACACTCTCACATATCTGTGCCACTGCAATTCTCGATATGGCACTCCCAAAATCACGCGAATCCACCCGCTTATCCACAGTATTCTCTCGCTCTCTTTTATTCTCGACTTTGCCTCCATTGCTCATATTCAAATTCCTGAATCATTTAAGATTTCTCAATCAAAATCCAACCGATTAACTAATCTTTAGCATTAGACCCAAACACTCACTAATAAACTAGCAAACACTACTCTCTAGTCACCATCAAGAATTAGACATAATAAAACACACGGAATATCAAATATCAAAACATGATCAGGCAGATCTCAAATTACCCAATGCTGTTCAAAGTTTAGGTAAATAAACTTCTAAGACTCAATTAATAATAAATTTAAGCACAAAAGTTTTTTTTTAAAAACAAATCAGCATCTTTTAAAGGATACTCTAATTGCAAGCTGAACTCTAATTTATTCACCTCAACTCTTCACTTGTACCCTCTTTTGTAAAAAAAAAAAAAAAAAAAATTGGAAAGAAGTTTTGCAAAATTAATATAAACACTACAGAGTGCCTAATTAACAGGGTGTGTATCAAAACGTAGCTTTCCCCAGCTAAAAACAAACATGATGCACCAACGAAGAGATATTATGCACACTTGAAAATAATTATTTCTCAATTTCTTGTGGTAATACATGCATTCAGGAACACATGGCAATAAAGCATTCTTAATCTTTATTCTCGCGCCTTTAGCTAATTTTTACTTTAAAACTAAAATTACTTAAGCATAAACAAGAAACTTTGGAGGAAATTCATTGGTAGTGGGCACAAATATTAGAGGAGCGGCCAAGAACACCCAAAAGAAATAAATCTACAAAAATAGCCCTCCAAAAAAAAAATCCGGATTGTATGTATTTACCAAAATCATCATCGTATAAGCATTTTCCACAAGTGCAAACGGTAAAGAAACAATAAATTTTACATTCGATTAGAGATCATGCTCTTAAATTTGCTTACGTGTGCAAAGTTAGGGTTTGTATGCATACTTGTCCTCGGCGGTGAATTGCCACATGTAGGGATTGAAGCAGGGGATCGAGGAGAAGGCAGCGGAGCCGATCCAACAGCTCCCGAAGTCTTTCGGGTCGCAGTGCGGGACTCCCGGGTCGCCCCTAGAAGCGTTTGCTAAATACTTCTCCATTTCCGCCTGTGCCTGTGTGCTGTATAGCTGTGCTCCTCCGTCACCGTCAGTCACATGCGTGTTGTATATGATATATGGTATTACGTTTATACCCTTGCTTCTCCTTCAAATTATAATTTCACCACCAACAATTCTACAGATTTAAAATTATTAAAGTGGCACTTGGTTCAAATAGGTATCGAATCTGAATGGAATAAAGACTTAATTTCAACCAAGTTGCTTGTAGTCCGGCTTGTAGTCCACTGGTATTGAGTTGCTCTCTTAAGTGGGAGGTGTAAGGTTTGAACCTCATTTGAGATAAATAATGTGTATATGTAGGGTATATCTCCCTTCCTTATTAATAAAAAAAAAAAGACTTAATTTCAAATTTTGATTCCTTTGTTATTGATATTTTAATTTTTATTGAGTTAATTCTCGCGGAGGTTCTTTGGTGATAGTTTTAAATTTAGTTTCGATTATTATTTTTGTCATTTAATACTTTATACTATTATATTTTGAACACTTTTAATCTTTTTAATAATTTTAGGTAAGGGTATTTTTGTCTTTTTAAATTTTTAATTATTTTTCCAATGAGTTCGTTCCAACATATGTCTCTTGCTTTTGGTGGTATTTCCAAATGTAGTCCAACACAATCGTTTCATATTTTTGACATTTTTTTATCATTCCGGTGAAACCCTATTTTATGAAAGTGTATTTTTATATGAGAAAGAAGATACCTTTTTTTTTTTTTTTTTTTTTTCCTTTTGGTCTATAGCTATAGTAGATGATTCACATAATCATGAACTAAAACGATATCAGTTAGATTGAAGCCAACCGTGTAGCGATATCCCAAGCTTTTCAATTGCGTTACTAAATAATTACCCTGGCCCATACCCGGAGGTCCTCACATACTCGGTATTGCCATTGACAAAGGACGATTTTGCGTTAAATTGAAGGAGAAGAATACAAGAGTCTGGTGAAGGAGATGGTGTAATCCACGAGTAGGGATGTCAATCGGGCCAGTCCACTCGATTTCGGGCTAGCTCTGTCGGGTTTATCAATTCGGGCTAATCAATTATTTTATTGTTTTATTTTCGGGTTTGGGTTGTCCCTAACCCTAAACATCGTGTTATCGGGCATATCGGATGGGTTGAACCATCTGAACTAAAATTGAAAACTAAGAGTGGGTACCCACATTTAGAGCTATAAAAATGGGCCTGATTCGCATAGTTGAGCTCGTTTAGACCTTGTTTAGGCATGTTGAGTTGTATATTTCTCCGATTCGATCCGAACGGGCTATCCCGTTTAGCCCCTATGTGGTACCTGTGATATACATGTTTGCCTCATAGCCTTGTAACCCGCGGGGCAACTGTATAATTCGTCACCCCTACCCATACCCACATCCTAAGTTTATTTAAATATTTATTAGTTTAAATGTGTTTGTAATTTTGTATTAGAATTTAAAAAACATAGATAATAGTAAGAATTGAACACCTAATCTCTCCTTTAATCTTAACCTAGAAATATCAATTAAATGTTAAAAGTATTTATTAAACTTTTTTGTATAACTATATATTTATTTAAATCATTCACAAACATTATAGGAATAAGGGTCAAATTAGCCATCGAACGTAACGTGAAAATGCAATTGGGCTACTCAACTAAAAAAATAGTGCAATCAGACCATTCAACATTGTAAAATCATGCAATTTGTCCCAAGTGACTTGCAGTAGCAGGTTACCAACATGTAATTAGTTAAAAATTAATAAATAGATTGTGAGTGAACGAAAAATTAATTCTCAAAGTGTACTCATTTAAATTTTGAAAAATAGAGTTGGAAAGACTTGTAAATAGCATTTGTCTCACATTGAAAATGGATGTGAATTTGTAATAGTAAATATTTCACTTTTTTTTAGAAATTTGAATTGTATTGTATAAAGACTCTTTCGCGTGCGAGGGGCGAAGGGAGGCGAACCAAATCTCAAAATAATCAAAAAAGGTTTAGTTTGTGTGCACCTGTGATAGACGAACACGAATTTCGTGGAAAATTGGCAACCCATGAGGCATAAGTTATGCCAAATTTCTGAACATTTTTATCAAGTCTGAGGAACAAAGTCTTTGGTACTTAGAGCAACACAAGTTACACGAAACTATGTTGCTAGACACATCAAGGTCGTTTACTAACTTGGAGAAATGGAGGATTTTTCAGAAAATAGAGAAATTGAGAAGTGAAAAAAATAAAAATTGAAGGAATTGTTTATTAAATTTCTTCTTCCAAATTCAATCTCTATCTCCATTCTTCCACTTCTAATACAAATTTGGAGAATAGATAAAAAGCTTTCTCCAAATCGAGGAATGGACACCGATGAACAGTAAATCAGATAAACATCCCGTGTGCGGCGCTTATCTGTGTTTTGTTCTTCCCATTCTTCTTTTTTCCCCGACGTCTTCCTCTTTTTTCCGTTTTAATAATAATAATAATAATAATAATAATAATAATAATAATAATAATTATTATTATTATTATTATTATTATTATTATGCTAAAGTGTCATCTCGCACCCTGAACTATAACGGATTATTCATACCACACCCTGATCTTTTATAAGTGATATTTAAATTCACCAACCATTAATTTTTTTTCGCCTAGAATTTTTTATAGGTTACTTACAGGTTACCGGTAATCTATGCTGATATAGGATTTTTTTTCTTTTTTCTAACACCTCATTCCGCCAGCCAGCCAACAATGATTAATTTGTTGATCAACCTTAGACAAAAGGTAAAGAAATTTATGATCCATTATAATTTAATTTATAATAGCGCAGCTAAGATTGTCGTAAAGGGTAAACCGAAGATGTTTGGGAGGAGACGATAGAACTTACTGTACCGTCCGCCAAGATGCTCGACGGCGTTGACGAAGTGGTCGTGTAGCTCCGGCGTCCACTCTAAACGCGGTAATGGAAATTTCTTGTACTGCCAATTAAACCCATTTCTCTGGCCGCTGCTTTTCCTCATTTCGATCTTCTGATTTTCCGGCGAAGGTGAAGACAGTGAGCGGAGGAGGAGATGAGAATTCAATGTATAATAAAGTGGTTGGAACCATATAAAGAAGAGCATAAAAGAAGAACTAAAAGTAGCTAGAGGGAGTCAGAGCTGAGATTATGGACTTTTGTTGGCCTGTGTGGACTTTTGCAACATTCCCCATTTCCCTATGACAATGTATTTCTATTCTGAAGAGGAATTTATTTTATCTGCAAGAATGTAAATTTACAAGAAGCTAAGCAGCGACAACAACGTTATTCTTCTTGACGACAACAATTATTTTGCGTTTCTGCGGACGACCACGACGAAGAAACCACATGCCTAATTAATTTATTGCTTTTGATGAAGGTGACGGCGAAGCCTTTCTCCACTAGCCAGCAGGCGAGATCGACGAAAGGGATGATGTGGCCTTGTAGCGAATAACATATCAACATTGCATGCAGCTTTTGGCCGGTATCCGTCATGGATTATTATTAACAATGTTTAAAAACTCTTAGGAATGTCGAAGTGAAGAAAGCATATCAAGATTATTGATTTTGAGAGTAGACTTAAAAATTTGGGGTTGACTTAAAAAGAAGTTCCACATCAGCTAATAACTTGTGACATGTCATCATAGTAACCTAGAAACCTGTAAAAAATTCTAGACGAAAAAAATTTAATAGTTCGTGCATCTAAATATCACTTATGAAAAATCAGGGTGCGGCATGAATAATCCGTTATAGTTCAGGGTGCGAGATGACACTTTAGCCTTATTATTATTATTTGCACAAAAAATCACATTTATATTTTTATACATGTTATTATTGCCTATGTTATTTTGTAATCATTTATAATTTATTTAGTGTAAGGTTTTTATTGGTGTATTGAAATTAGAGCAAATACCAATTTTAGTCTCACCAGTATTAGCAAAATGACAATTTTGATCCACATGTTTAATTCCTACCAAAACTCATCCCACAGCTATTGTTTTGCTACCAAAGTTAATCACTCCGGTAGTCCGGTCACCGAAAAAATTAAAACACGCCGAATTCTTTAAAAAATAAAGGTATTTTTGTCCTTTTATCATTAAGATCAAAGTATTTACTAAATTTCCGTTAAAATTAATAGCTTGATCTGCCAGACTGCCAATGCATTTCGCCATTTTAATTTGTAAAAAAAAAAAAAAAACAATAACAAATTATACAGAAAACAATTTTAGAATTCAGCCTAAAGATTTCAGTAGTGGCAACACTTCTTCTTGTAGCTTTTAGTTGGTCCTAACACTCTCTCTGGAGGATCTCCCACCACCACTCTTGCCTCTCTTTCGTTTCTGTTTACCATGCCCTCTCAAAGTAGAAAAGCTAACCTGATAATCAAGATTGCATAACAACTTAACAAATGATGAACTATATACATTCAGTTGAATTTTAAAGAATGAAATACACTATTTGCAATTAACAGGACAATCTAATGTCCCAGTTTAAGAACATTAAGCTCACAAGATAACCCGACGTGTTTTAATTTTTCCGGCGATCGGAGTGATTAACTTTGATAGTAAAATAATAGTTGTGGGATTAGTTTTGGTAGGAATTAAATATGAAGACTAAAATTGTCATTTTGTTAATACTCGTGGAACTAAAATTGGTATTTGCTCATTGAAATTATTATAATAGAAATGAAAAACTAAAAATAAGGAATGGAAATTAAATGATTTGAAAAATAGAAAAATAGAAATGAAAAAACAGAGGAATGAAGTAAACGATCCTCAATGTCTCCAAATGGAGAGATGGAACGATGCGGGTGAACAGTGATTCTTTCTGAGGTCCTGTCATAGTGTCATGATTCCCACCAGCAGCGTTTGTGCATTCTTTTTCCCTTTCTTTAACTTTCCCCTATTCGAAGCATCAAAAGTTGCTTCGAAGCATCAATTACGATCAACCTCTGCTATTCAGTAAGCAGTAGAGGTTTGTGAAGTTCTACTATTTGTAGCAACATTGGTCAACCTTTTCATTTCTCTTCCTCCTCTGCTGCTC